TGTCTGTATGAGTGTATGTAACCCACGATCACCCGCATTCGAGGCGGACGCTCTAACCACTAAGCCAACGGAGCGATTTATAGGTTTATATATATATATATATATATATATATATATATATATATATATATATATATATATATATATATATATATATGTGTGTGTGTGTGTGTGTGTGTGTGTGTGTGTGTGTGTGTGTGTGTGTGTGTGTGTTTGTGTGTATCTATCTATCTATCTGTCTGTCTGTATGAGTGTATGTAAGTATGTATGTATGTATGTGTGTATGTATGTATGTATGTATGTATGCATGCATGTATGTATGTATGTATGTATGTATGTATGTATGTATGTATGTATGTATGTATGTATGTATGTATGTATGTATGTATGTATGTATGTATGTATGTATGTGTGTGTGTGTGTATGTATGTATGTATGTATGTATGTATGTATGTATGTATGTATGTATGTATGTATGTATGTATGTATGTATGTATGTATGTGTGTGTGTGTGTGTGTGTGTGTGTATGTATGTATGTATGTATGTATGTATGTATGTATGTATGTATGTATGTATGTATGTATGTATGTATGTATGTATGTATGTATGCAAATTTTAATCGTTGATGAGTTTCTTAATATTGGAGCTTTGAAACACCGTAACAAAAGTGGAGTTTGGTAAACTATTCCAAGGTGAAATAATGTATAAACTTGGAGACATTGCTATAACATTGGCAAATATAAGAGACTTCTTTTATTTTATTTTTTCTGAAAATAATGCTGATACGAAAGGAGAGTAATTTAAGTTATAAATGTTATCACTGTTATATGGAATAAGGCAGACAAAAATATTGCAAGTCAATAAAGCTCTCTTGCGTAACAGAGGATGAGACGTGTCACAAGATGCGATATACAGACTTCCTATTATTTTGGACAAAGGTTAGGAATCAATGCCTTGTTTTATAGAAACTATTTACTGATATTTCTCGCATCATCTTTCGTGTTTATTAATGCCCTAATCGTCAATGCCCTATATTGTATTATTACCCACTTTAGTATTTTGTTATTACATTAACCAATAGAAATCGTAGTTTGCAAGTAAGAAAACAGGTTGCAAACGAGTCAAAATAATACAAGTTGAAAATAGGCTGATCTTTAGAAGAAACGTATATGTTTACCTGGCAAATTAAATTTTACTTGCGAAAGATATTTGCACACTATATCTGCAAACACAAATAGGATTTTCCATTTCATTACACTGAGAATAACATGAAGTAAAATCGTGACTTTGGTGGTCATGCAAGCCATAGTACAAATCTGTTATTTTACTCTAATGACGTAATCTGATACAAGTTGGGGCTTATTGATATTGTAACTCAAAAATTAAACCCCAAGAGCATAAATCATCTGAGGTCCTTTTATATATCATCGCTTTAATACAATATGTATGATCTTGGTGGAAAATATGCATTTGAACGAAAATAATCCGTGAACCAAACATTTAGCTTTATCCAACGATTATCACACGATAACTCGATCAATGATGTTAGTATGTATTTTCTAACTATCTGTACTGATATATTGATTGTCCGAAGCATGCCATTTTGCGCTACAGAGTAGACGTTGAATTTCAGATATTTTTTTAAATGTCTTGATTAATTAAAAGAGAACAGAGATTCACAAATATAAAAGATGAGACAGGGATCCTTCCTTTTTACCAGTAATACGTTGTCATTTTGTTTTGAAGTTGATGCAAACCATCACATCATATATATTTGGCAAGATATATTGTGATTATTCATATATACTCAGTATTTTAGTCCAAAGCAACATTCTTGTATTGTATGTGGGAAAGACAAAATTGTATTTGTCACTAGATAACTACTCTTATCGATCGAATATGTCATCAAAGTCACTAGCAAAATCAACTCCAAGATCATCAGAATTATCAAAGTTGTCAAAGACATCATCATTAATTCCCCACGGACTTCCATTGTCAATAGGGGAGTACCCATATGGAACAATGCTACCAATTCCAGAGGACGAATGACCTATCCCTGTATTATACCTCATCGCCATATTCGCTCCTATATTTCCTAGACTGGTCCCGAAAGTTGTTCCTAATCCGGCAGATCCGATATTACCTCCGAGTCCATTAGCGTTTGCGCTCGATAAAAATGACATACCATAGGAAGGTAGTTGAGTTCCACCTGGCATTCCACCCGCCATCTTGTTTATGCTTTCATAACCCGAGCCCACTCCATTTCCAAGCCCGTTTCCAATACGATGGACGCCACCTCCAAGCCCGTTCATGTTATGCATAGTGTTTCCGTTGCCACTTGGTAAAAACGAGGTAACAAATGAAGACCCTTGAGGTCCGCTTACCATTGCTCCAGTCATCTTCGTCGTTCTCCCATAACCAAAACCTATTCCACTTCCAAGCCCGTTTTGGATAAGATTCAAACCACCTCCAAAACCGTTCATCTTAGGCACAGTGTTTTCATTGCTACTTGGTAAGTATGAGGTACTGAATGAAGTCCCTTGAGATCCGCCTGACATTCCTCCAGTCATCCTATTCATTCTTCCATATCCCGAGCCTATTCCTATTCCAAACCCGTTATGGATACGGTTGATGCCAATATTGAGACCATTTCCACCACCTACCGAGCCCATTCTGGTTCCAAACCCCTTCTGGACGCTGCTGAAGCCAGTACCACGACCATTTCTACCACCTATGACTGAACCTTGACTAACACTATTTAGACCCATTCTTTCCATTCCCGCTCGCATCCTCACTAATGGCAATGTTCTTGCATTCTTCATACCTACTTGAATGTTGTTGAAGTTCATATTATTTCTCAGATTTCCACCGTTAATATTCTTAGAATTGTACTTGTTGCCCTGGCTATAAATAAAGGTGTTTGCAGTTGCTATGGTTAAAGTATTGTATAGCAGGACTACAATGATTGTATCGCTTCCAGATCTCATTCCCTTCATTGGGTGGTTTCCTGAAATGAATAAAATATTTCTCTTTTGGAAATTGCAATTCAAACAGTTAAAATAAAATATTAGATTATTCACTTAAATTCTTTTCTTCCAAATGGATGAAGTCTTTTTTATTCTCCCCTCCCCCATTCCATAATCTGCCCGTATTAGTCATGTTTGTGTCACTTGTTGAATATTACTTTACTGTTGAGAAATGAAGAATGCGTGACATACAGCAAAGTACTTATATGTCAAACTGTAACGTGCAACAAATACCAATTAAAAAGTAAAATATCGAAAGCAAGCAGTGTGTTTCCTGCAAGTTCTTCAATTATATACGAGCAGTGGGATTTCTCTTTTCTACATTTCTTTAACAAACGAATTATATTCGATATGCAACAACACAAAAAGGTACGATAACTAAATTGGCAACATTTTTGACCTCACATGAAAATCACAACACTTTTAAGATTTAGATTGCAATAATCAGGTTTATATAATATAACTTCTTCCTGTTGTTTTGAAAATACTCACCACTAGTTTAATGGAATACCTGCGTCTTCTGCTACTGGACGTCGAAACTAAGTGAATGGAAAATAACTATTGACGACGATCTAATATACGCTAGATCTAAGTGCAGCGCCTTGTCGCTCGGCGACAGTTATACGTATCGTAATTAGATGTCTATGAGGTTTATCGTTTACTTTTTCAATTAGTCGGCTACTTTCAGTCTTTTGAAGACGTTGGTGTTTGGTATGTCAAAAGGAATAATAGGTATTGTGTTACCTCAACTTACGTCATTAATTTACTGGTCTAGTTATAGGTCCTAAAACGCCGAGGACCAGCTCAAAGTGCCTCTTAAATGCTTTAAGCTCAATCAACTTAAATTTATGTTTTTATTTTATTTATTTCACATATAATTACATATATTTGCCCTTTGAATGAGGTTCGCATTTACTATAGGCAGCAGTGTATTGATCTAGTGAATGAACTCTTCACATATCCGAGTTTGTCCGCTATAAAAAAATGTAGTTCTATGCCTTTTGTGGCTATTCACTATCACCTTTAAATAAGTCGATTGCTTCTCTATTTTTATTTCCATTTTCCTTCACATTAATTAGATCTATAAAATACGTACTTATAATATAAACATAAAAGATGGTTTCATGAACTCTAAGCCATTCAACTTCCGGCTCATGGAAATTAATGTGGAATGGAAACTGAACGAAATGATGAACAACAAGAGGTAACTAAAATATTTTGATATATTTACAGTTGAATAGTTGAGCTAAGTCACTATTCTGCTTTAGCAACAGTACAATCGAGCATAAACTCTCTCTCTCTCTCTCTCTCTCTCTCTCTCTCTCTCTCTCTCTCTCTCTCTCTCTCTCTCTCTCTCTCTCTCTCTCTCTCTCTCACACACACACACACACACACACACACAAATACACATGTATTCACACACACACATTCTTTGGTGAGTTAGACTTCACTATTACCGTAATTCAAAAGTCCAGATATATCGTGGGATGACACAAATGGAAATTTACGTTCGTCATTTCATAGCTTTTAGCCCGTATCTTGCTACGATGGTCCAGGGTTCAGAGAGAGAGAGAGAGAGAGAGAGAGAGAGAGAGAGAGAGAGAGAGAGAGAGAGAGAGAGAGAGAGAGAGAGAGAGAGAGAGGCAGGCTTTAGACATTTTCATAATTAATAATAATTGATGTTTTAAATGTGTCAAAAAAAACATATTATTAAATACATCACAGTGTATATACCACGTAACCGAGTTATTTGCTATACAATGGTGACCTCGTTTGCAACTTTGTATCATTTATAAACAGTGTAAATAAATCGCAAGGAAAGTGCACATGTATCGTTACGACAAACTATATTCTTGCAGGTTACATGGTGTGATTTCTATTTGAACGTTTTGACGCAGCTCAAATTTCTTTTCTCTCCAACTCCACATAGCTGCATTGTTTGAAAGCTATCATTAAGATGAGATATCAGAAAGGATTGTGACGAAAATGTATACTATATTACATTCATTTGGATAAGAAGGATTATTAATACTTTTTACTTTTTATT